AAGATTGTGGCTGCAAGCATGTGATTGAAGCCCACCGCTGTTCTCACTTCCCCTCCCCCCCCCCACATGGATACCCCTGCTTCCAAACTTGCATCTTGAAAGAACTCCAAGAATGAGAGGGGAGCAACTGAAGTTTCACAGTTCAGGAACAGCATTTTGTTCATTTCTTTCCAAGGGATGCTGCGCGTGGGCAAAAAAGGTCCATTAGGAAAGTGGGAAGAACTGGCAGGGCCACAAGGGCATTATTTAGGTTTGCCAAGTACAAAGAATTTCATTCCTTGAGACCTGGGAGGGGATTAAGAGGAGGAGGGGGGGGTCACAAGACTGTCAAGTTCTTGAGTTGTGGAATTTGGTACCAGAGGATTGCTGGTAGTAAAGTAACCTAACCAGTCATGTGAAAAACTTTTTAAAAAGGGGTTCTGGCTCTATCAATGGCAGTACATAAATAAAAAATAGTTAACCTTCAACATTTAGGTTTCTCTGAATTTTGCAATGCAATTCATTTACATTAAATATGCTTTTCTGTTTATTTATTTATTTGTTTATTTTATATATCAAATTTGTCACCACCCGTCTCATTGAAAGTGACTCTGTGTGGTTTACAGAAGAAATATATATGTAATTGCTTACATTAAATATGCTTTTACACACACACACACACACACACACACATAATAAAAAGCATATTTAATGTAGGTGAATATATATATTTAATGAATATACACATATTTAATGTAAGCAATTCTATATATATTTCTTCTGTAAACCGCACAGAGTTGCTTTCAATGAAATGGGTGGTGACAAATTAGATATATAAATTAAATAAATAAATAGAAACGCACATTTTTTTCATGAGAAATAATGCTAATATGTTACATTAGGAAAAATTGTTTGCAAACCCTGGGTTCATTCTTTTCTTGGAAAAAGAAATGAATGCAAATGTCTGAAGATACTCAGAAAAATGCATACAAATTTTTGGATGATTTTTTAAAAAAGAAATTCTCTAACTAGTATGGGAATGGCAGAAACTGAATATAAGATAATCTGAAATTGGGAAGGAAGGAAGGAAGGAAGGAAGGAAGGAAGGAAGGAAGGAAGGAAGGAAGGAAGGAAGGAAGCTGTTGACCAGTTTGCCAATCCTTCATTTTCATGATGTGTTTCATGGTGCCTTACTCTTCATGTAAATATCCACACTTCACAGCATTGAAATGAACAGATTTAGAAATGATTTCTTCTTCTGTGAAAGAGGGTATAGTCTTATCATCATTCCAACTACTACCTCTACTATAAAATGCCAGGGAAAAAACTATTATTAGTATGAATAAGATTCGAGGGTTTTTTTATCTGCTGTAATATTTATAATACTTATTATGATTTATTTCGTGAGTTGCAGCTCTTCTTCCACAGTGTTTATAACATTTCAGTAGATCAAACCAAAATAAATTTAAAACTAAATAGATATGCAGTGTGATCTTATACACATTTGTATACATTTGAAATCAATGTGATTTTAGCTTAATGGGTTTATTCTAAGCATAACTAAGCCTATCAAGAGTGCTTAATTGTCTTTAGTGTTATTAGTGGAACTGTATTCAAGATATTGTATATCATTACTGTAGAAAGTAAGGGAGATGACCTTGATGAAGATATGCAGGAACTTAGGCAAAAGAGGCTGAAACGTTTTTGAACTCCAGAACAACGAGGTAACATTCAGAAGTGGCTCAGGCAGACACCTCCCTGATTCACTGAACTATATGGAGGAGGAGGAGGAGGAGGAGGAGGAGGAGGTACAGCTCAATCAGGCTTGCAAGGTTCTGTTATTACAGCCAATCATTATAAAAGCAGTTTTAGCCTTCCTGTGGAGTCAATTTCCTAGTCTGTTCTACCTAGTGGGGCTGACATCACTGATCCTGTTTTTCACTCAGTCAAAATTCTTACCTTGTTTTCTTTTTATTGTAAAGTCTTTAATTTACAGAAGGAACTCCCAAATCTGGCTTCAGATCCATTAGAGAGGTGTGTAACTGTCTTCATTTGTTTCTACTAGAGAAGAAACCAAGTTTATAGTTCATGGACTCAACTTCCCAAGCCTCTTGGAAGCCCTGTGGAATTAGTGCCACCCTCTCTACCACAATCTCTCTACCACACCCTCTCCACAATCTCAGATCAGCACACACCCCTCCATATCTATGGAGTCTGGTCCCTGTAGTCCAGCTACTGGGGGAGCAACTGTTTGCTATTGCTTGTGCCATTGCAATACTTCTGTTCTTCTTGCGAGGTGGATAAGTGAGGACAGCTGCCACCACTGAATTGTCCCATCCCTATCCATTTACATACCACAATCTAGCCAATTTCACATCATCACCTCTTGCTTGCTGTGGCCTTCTCTGTCCCCCCCAAAAGAAAAGACAAGTACCCCTTCAGCCTGCAAAAGATGGCCTATTCTTGGAGCAACCTGTGTAGTAATGAGCAGTGGCTATTGTATATATTATATTATAT